GATTGCCAGCCCCCCCGGTTTACCCAGAAAGGAAACATGCCCAGAGAAGCTATTTCTTCTTTATTTTAAGGCAAAATAAAAGGAATCTTCAAGGTTGAAAAGTACAAATCTCCCTCCATTGCTTTTTACCACCTGATTAGTTACAGAGGTTTCTAAGTTTCTTTCTCTGCCTGTTAGTCTGATGTGGGCTCCTTCCCTTTTGTCTGATCCTTCCCTGGGGAGCATCTCTTCCCCCCTCTCCCCCCACCCCCCACCGTGTCTTCCAAGGTCATTCTCACATTCCATCACATGCCCAGAGCAGGAATCTAACAGACAAATTGTTGTTCAACCTTTGATTGAAAACCTCCAGTGATGAAATACCCACAACTCCAGGAGACAGGCTGTTCCACTGCTCAACAGCTTTCATAGACAGGACATTCCTCCTTATTTAGAGTTTGTGTCTCTTTCTGTAAAGCTTCCACCCATTGGTTCTTGTCCTACCTTCAGGCATTAAGGAGAATAAATCCACACCCTCTTCCCTGGAACAGCCTTTCAAGTATTGAAAGACCACTATAATGCCATCCCTTAGGGTTCTTCTCTTTAGGCTAAATACAGCCCCTTACCATCTCTGTTGCTGCTCTTTGTATTCTTTCCAGTTCTTCAGCTTTCTTTTTGTATTATAGCAGCCAAACCTGGATGCAATACAGGCAGTCCTCGCTTACAGACAGTATTGGGACTGGGAACTTCATCACTAAGTGACACAGTCATAAGGCACAATATCACATGACCATGCTGACTTACAATGGCAGTTGCAGCAGTCCCAGCTGCCGTTGTTAGACGACTCCCGCGTGGTCACAGCTTCCTGCAGTCATGTGATTGCTATTTCTGACCTCCTGTGGGCTTCTCCATTGACTTTGCTTGTCGGAAGCCGGCAGTGATGGTCACAAATGGAGATCACATGAACGTGGGATGCTGCAATGTCATAATTGTGAGCCAGTCACCGAGCACCCAAATCATGATCACATGACCATGGGGATGCTGTGACAGCTGCAACTATGAGGACTTGTCATAAGTAACCGCTTTCAGTGCTGTTGTAACTTTAAACAATTGCTGAATGAGCGGACATTCAGCAAGGACTACCTGTATTGCAGGTATGGTCTGACCAGTACAATGTAGAGCTGGCTCATGCTTAATCTGTGGTCTAGATTTCCAGATCCCTCTTCAAATACAATTGCCAAGCCAGGGAACTACCTATCTCGTACTGTGCATCTGTTTTTTTTTAAGTGCAGAACCTTACATTTCTCACCACTGAAGAGCAATTTGTTGGATAATGTTCATGACTATAGAGATCCTTTTGAAACTTGAGTCTGACTTCTGAGGTATAGCGATCCCATCCAGCTTTGTATCATCTGCAAATTTGATTAGCATCCTTCTATCCCCTCATCTAAGTCATTTATACAAATGTTGAAGAGCACTTAGTAGCATTCCAAAAAAGTCAAGTATATATTCCTCAGTGACAGTGCCCAGGGCAAACAAATTGGCAGAAAATAAGAACAAAAGAAAGAAAGAGATGTGGGGGAAAGGACATTTGCTTCACTGTTCTCTGTCAGTTCAACAGCCAGGCTATACAGAAGTAATAAAACAACCTGCACAAGACTTGTATTGTTCTCAGTTAATAGATGGGTTACTTCAAGAATCTCTTTCAAGTGTACTACGCAGACACAAGTTCAAATAAGCCTTTATTCTAAAGATGCCCAGTAGGAACCTGCCATTTAAATTCTCATAGAAATGCTAGCTTTAGAAGCAGAGTAATATAGGCCCCCTGGGCTCATCCTTACAGGTCAGGCTTAGAAAATAAAATGGGAAAAGTTCATGAAATGGGCTTAATGCTGTGTATCTTAGCAATCTTACAGTTATATAACTGAAAAAAGCAAGAGATAAAAAGTAAGCATAATGCAATATATTTGTCACAGAACCAGGAATTGGAATTCATGTCATTAGAGATTTTGCATGGGTTAACTATATTTTTATTTCCACAACCTAAAACATTGCATGGGAATGCAAACATTGCAAGGATTTTATTAGATGTATGAGTGGAAGATTAGATTTCTGCCTGCACACTGCTGTTCATGATTTGTCCAATGGCCTCTAAAACAAATTTTTAAAGCATGCTTCTCTACAAGTATTTTTCCATGGACTGGAAATACTTGGTTGGAATGAGCCACTAGGAACTACTGGCTCATGGGTATGGATATATGCATATGCATCCACATTAAATGGGACCAACAGGGTACTCATTCAAAGTCGGTATATGCAAAATCAAAAACACTCACTTTTTAAAAAAGGTGGTGATAGAACATCTGTACATCCTTTCTTGCACATTAATTTAGAATCAGTGCTGAATTCAGAAAGTTCTCTAAAAAGGATCTTATGCTTTAAAGTTTGAGGCATATGGGATGCTTATATAGTTTTGATCAACTTTCCCCACCTGATACTTTACTGGATACAATTCATATCACTCCTAGCTTGAATTGCTATAGTCTGCTCAGTGGGGATAGTAAAACTTACAGTCCAACACACCTGGGACACATCACATTGAGAAAAACAAATGAACTGCCAATGTTCTGCCAATGTTTGTATGACATTGCTGGCCAAGTTAGTGACCTCAGCTATTGATAGACTCATCTTGTGCACCAGTGGAGCACAATCTCAAGTGACCTAGTCAGCTGGGAGCAGCCATTTTCTAAATCCTCCCAACATCTGCCAAGGAGGTTGTGTGGCTGCCATTTCCCTTTTTTTTTTGTTTTCCTCAGAACAATTTTTTAAAAATCTACAGCAGTCTGAGTGGGGTGGTACAGGGAGCCAGAGAGATGGCCTTGAAGAAGGAATCCAGAGACTGTTAGAGAAGCACCAGATGCAGATGAAATGTGTTAAGTCCAGAGAGGTACAGAGTATTACAAAAAGACTCAGACTAGACCCCACCCCAACTCCCTGGGTATAAGAGGGAGGGATGGGAAGACACAGGCAGACTTGCAAGATTCTTTACTATAGTTTATCTCAGTATAGTTCTAGTCTTCTGGTGGAGTCTTTTTCCTGATCTGGTCTACCCTCAGGGACTGGCAAGTTATCCTTTCTATGTCCAAAATTGGTGGGACATGCCCAACTCTTATCTCTTTCTTCCTCTGTTTCACCCCATGCATGCTGTGGAAGAAAAAAAAACGGACAATGACAGACATATAATTCCTAGAAAAGTCCCATTTTCATGGATCTGTCTAAGAGTTGGACTCAGGTGGGGCAGGTGTTCCCTTGAGCTAAAACTAATCCCTTCTGAGTTCATTGTCTGGATCACACTGTTTGTATGATATGCTAATCCTGCCACTCCTGCCACTAAGGGTTGTATGAACAAAGCCAGTGTGGCTTTTTTTCACATACTTCTTTCCTCTTCACTTCTTCATACAGTATGTGAGAGGTTAGCAAAATCTTTCATTTATACTTTTGATTAAAGTATAGCTCTTCTATTCTGCTGTCTCCAGGTATTACAATGTCCACTATGCAGACTTTTTTGTCTTTCTTATCAACAATTGTTAAGTCTGGGGTGTT